GGAGGCATCACAGTTCTGTTTTTAGAAAATGTTTTAAACTTTATATTTTATCTCTTGTTACATACAGTATTTTCAATGGTTGTATCGATCTATGCGTAATTAAAAACGGTTATTGTACGTATGAAAGAAAATTTACGCTAAGTGTATGGTCCCGAATACTATTTTTCAAAAATGTTTTTAAAAGGGTCTGAAATGTTTCTAAAGTGTTTAGGATGAAAGTTTAAGGCATATGGGGTTTTAACACTCAAAATAGGTACTTATAAGCACTTTTAGGGGGTTACAAGTATTCGTGGATTCTAATTATTCGCGGCCGGTTCTGGTCCCTAACTCCCACGAATACGGGGGACTCACTGTATAAATGTTAATCACCCATTTATACATGACGCCCAAATAATCTGGCATAATCTTAATCAGTTCCAGGAACCTTGCGCCATAACAAAGAATTCCAATCTTTCGTTCTGATGCTAAAATAGTCTAATCTACTGCTTGAGATTTTTTTCCAGCTAGGTTCACCATTTACGAGGCCCGGGGACAATTCAAAGTAGGGGGCTACGTTTGGGGGCAATTTTTGTATATAAGAGTGGAAGATACCGGTTAACCATGACCAGTTGCGATGTAGAGTCAGAAAGAAAGGCGTCTCTAGCCTACAGCGGTAGGACCTAAAGAGAAAAAAAATGTCACATGGCCTAACCAGGTTCATAGAGAAACCGCCGTAACTCAAGTTTTCGCTTCGAGAAACATTACGAGTAAGGTTCACCTTTTTTACACACCGTTTGTTGTTGCATACATGTTATAATTTCTCTGTGTGTGACACGTGTATATGTGTATAAATCTAATTTTGTGTACGACGTAGCATTATAAAACTCTCTCTGAGAACACAGCATGTTTGTCAGTCATTTTTCCATTTTGCTATTCCTTTCTTTCCGTGAAGTATGGTGTTATTACATCACGGATATAATAATAATGCTTATAACGAGGGAAATTCAAATGGGGGAATAAATCTTTATTCCATAGCAATCTCCCGTCATAATCTTATTAAATTTAGAATTCTGCGATTCGGTTTCAAAACGTGCTTAGGTTCATAGACCTTCAATTTCATGGGTCGCTTCATATACCGGTGAATTACTTTTCATATCGCAAAGAGAAAACTGAATCCCCCTAAATCTAGCGGCTGATCCACAAATTGAGGGCAGAAGTCCTTTTTTTCCTGAATTTCTGAGATGGTGAGTTTTCATTATTTACATTCTGACTAATGTTCTCATCTTTGTCATTATTATAGCTACAACGTTTCAACCAGTGTACTCTCTGCCTTTCTTCAGGTATACGTCGATTCGAGTAACCTTCAAGGATTTTGAAACTGGACCCTTTATTTAATCTACGCTGCTACTATTTTTACACTTGACCCCTTTTTCGTCTTTTTCCTTTTGTTTGAATTTTATGAGATGAGGAGCATTTGGACTAAACATTCAATGTTCCCATTATTATTATCCTATTATGATTGAGCTTGTCCTTTTCTTCGTTAGTTCGCACGACCGATAAGTCCTGCCAATGCCTCAGAAATAATGGACTATTCCGTTCGAATAGTGTGGAAAGTGGGAAAGACACTAGTTGGTGAGAAAATGAAAGAAAGAAAGGAAGATAGAAGAGAGAATCGGATTAAGCTGATAAAAACAGTTACTACACTTTGATCTCAGGCAAAAGGCCGAGAAGCGATTTTATTTTCTTACCACCTCACACTGGCGGGATGTGACATAAGATTAATTTAATGTGGAGATCCTGAGTGCATGTACCCGGGTCAGATCTCAAAATAGCTCCCACAACCGTCAACTGCGCTGGCATCGGTGTTACTGATCTCCCCTCTTTAGTGCATTGAGGGAGGGAGGGACGGTCGTGGGCAGCTCTTTCCCGGGACCGGGCACCTCTCAATAATATTTTTAGTTGCGCTGTCTGCAGACAGAAACATAACCGAGTTCTGCTCTGTTCGAAGACAAAGAGAAAATTGAGATGAAGTATAGTTTATCTGCCCGAGAGCAGATACTACATTTTGATCTCGGCATAAAGGCCAAGAAGCGTTAGCAACTGCGATAAAAAGCACCATTTTTCAGACGAACAGTATCGAACGATGCAAACCGAACAAAGCAATCGCCAAAAATCCAATTATCCTGGATAAAGTAACTTCGTCTGCTGAATTATTTTAACATTATTATTAAGAGAAAAGTTCGTAAGACGAGGATTTGGCAAAGAAAGAAAGAAAGAAAGAAAGAAAGAAAGAAAGAAAGAAAGAAAGAAAGAAAGAAAGAAAGAAAGAAGTGTTTAACATCTCCTACCAATACATCATAAATAATGAACTATTCCATTTTGATTGCGTTGAAAAACAAAAGACATACGATACTTGGTTTCACTAAGAAAATGAAAGACAGAAAGAAAGAAAGAAAGAAAGAAAGAAAGAAAGAAAGAAAGAAAGAAAGAAAGAAGGGAATATAGAAGTGTTTAACATCCCCTGTCAATACCTCATAAATAATGGACTATTCCATTTTCATTGCGTAGAAAAGCAAAAGACATGTGCTACTTGGTTTCAGCATGAAAAAGAAAGAAAGAAAGAAAGAAAGAAAGAAAGAAAGAAAGAAAGAAAGAAAGAAAGAAAGAAAGAAAGAAAGAAAGAAAGAAAGAAAGAAAAGTGTTTAATGACAGTTTCGGTAAAATGGAAAAGTTGTCAGTTTCAAATCTTTTCATTTGTATCCCCTTACTTCTTAAAATCAAGTCCAGTATTCATATTAATGATTCTTATTGCAATATATTGTTAAAATTGTTCATGAAATATTTAACGATTTGATAGGGGAAATTCTACGAATATTCTATTATCGTAGAACCCACCATGAGCTTATTCAATCATTAACTGAAGAATTAAGATTCATCAGAAAATTCAAATAAGAAAACCGTGAAATTTCCACAAGTTTTTCTAGTCATTATTATTATTATTACAACGTTTCAGCCATTGCGTTCTCCGGCCTTCTCCATGTGTCGGTTTAAAACTGAACCATTATCTCATCTGAGCCGCTTCCCTGCTGTTATGATTAACCTCCTTTTTGTCTCAATCTTTTTTTTTCTTTTTCTTTTTTTTTTGGAATTTTATGAGACGAGGAATTATTATTATTTTTATTATTACTATATACTTTGTTATTCAGAGCACTACACATATCTTGGTTGTTTTACTAACAAAGTTTCGGCGATTAAAAAAAATAGGAAGCTGAATTAAACACTAACCCGTTAATTTATGACACTCTCTTTTTATATGCCATGTCCTTTCAGGGCGTAGGCAATCATGGCTCTCCACCACCTCCCTCTATCTCTTGCAGCTCTCAACAAGTTCCTTCCCTCTGCTTCCTCCTCCTCCAGACCACGTTCTGTCATCCACTTGCTTAAGCCCGCCAGTTATGTCACGCGTTGTTTTTCCTTATCTCTCTTTCTTTCTATTCGACCCGTGAGTATCAGATTCTCCAGGCCCTCCTTCCTCATTATGTGTCCCAGAAACTTCATCTGCCTCTTCCTGATGTTAAATTATAAGCCTCCTTCTTGTTTGTAACCTCTTTAAGAGCTCAACGTTGCTCACACGCTTGTTCCATGATATCGTTAGCATCCTTCTGTTGAAGCACATCTCTGTCGCCTCGAGTCTCTTCTTCATCTTTGAGGAAATCGTCCAACATTCGCTGCCGTAAAGAAGGACAGATGTCACGTAACAGCCGTTGTACGCTCCGGCCGTCTTCAGGTGATTGGAATTTAGAACCAAGCCCTTTATTTCGTCCACCGGGGTAGAATGTTCTAGTTCCACGTGCCATGCCTTCAATATATGTCTATATCTCTGAGATGAGGTATTATGATTACTTACATTATTTACATTATTCGGAATGTTATCCTCATCTTTACGGGCATATTCACAACGTTTCGGTCGTTGTACGCTCCGGCCTTCTTCAGGCGATTGGAATTTCGAATCGAACCCTTTATTTCGTCTACCGGGGTAGATTGTTCTAGTTCCACGTGCCATGCCTTCAATATATGTCTATATCTCTGAGATGAGGTATTATGATTACTTACATTATTTACATTATTCGGACTGTTATCCTCATATTCACGGGCATATTCACAACGTTTCGGCCGTTGTACGCTCCGGCCTTCTTCAGGTGATTGAAATTTTGAACCGAAACCTTTATTTCATCAGATTTTTCTAGTTCCACGTGCCTTGCCTCTTCTGGATATCTCAGTATCAGTTATCTCCCTTTCGGCTCAACTCTCCAAGTTTTTGTTCACCTACTGTAGCCAGGTATTGAACTCACAACTCTTTGGGTTACGTCACTGGATTACTTCAACCAACGCCTTTATCCACTGGGTCACGTGTCCTCGAGTTACACGTAGAACAAGAACAATCTACTCTGGTGGATGAAATAAATGGTTCATTTCGAAATTTCAATCACCTGAAGAAGGCAGGAGTGTACAACGGCCGAAGCGTTGTGAATATGGCAACGAACAATATAAATAGTATTAATAATTACAACACCTCATCTCAGAAATACAGACAGATTTAAGATTATATGAAAACATTTCCCGCGTTCGTGATCGGATTCCATAAGCCATTAATCCCCGAGTAGTCAGTAATTAATTTTATCGCTCTTTTCCGTGGGTGGATTAAACACTTTATAGCTCGGCATATATCTGAATTTTTATCCGAATTCTTCAAACTATAATATTTGATGTGATTAATATTTACTACTGAATCAAGTGCCTTGACAAAGAAAGAGAGCAGACTGAAAAGTAAATATTTGTTATGTAAAATAAAATAGGTAGTCCCAGTTCAAAATCCGGGTGAAGCTGTTTCATTCAGTTTGTGCTAATGGTCTTGGGTAAAAGGCATGAACCAGTCAGTTATCGCTCAGGTCACGACAAATAATGGGAGATACTAGATTCTTTAGCCTTAGTAAGGAGAGCAGTCGGGGGAGAAGGACAGATTTGAACTCGAAACTGTGGTAAAACGGATAAGGGAAAACCACTCTGCTATCTATACCAAGAATTCATCGCAATACACTGGAAGTTGTGGAGGGCCTACATTCCAAAGGATAGAACAGTTATCGAACACACACAGACATATATATATATAAAAGTGAACATTGAAGTCAACACTCAGAGGCCTCTGAGTGTTGACTTCAACGTTCACTTTTATATTTATATTTACATACGCTCTATCTCTGATATTGAGCACTTTATCCCATAGATATAGCACAACTTAAAACTATATTTCTTCATATATATATATATATATATATATATATATATATATATATATATATATATATATATTAAGTAATTCAGGGATATTTTAAACCGACATTATTTATTAATACTCTGAATGTCTCCCCGGCATAGAAATCGAAAAATGATATATATATATATATATATATATATATATATATATATATATATATATATATATTGAAAATAAGAAAATGAAAATTAAAAATTAAAATCATTAGACACACTGGGTTGTAGATTAATATTCTTTGTTTTTTATTATTATTATTCCATTTAGATTCTCGACTAGTTTCGACCGAAATGGCCATCATCGGGAGGAGAAATATTTCTGCTTGCTGTTAGCAGTGAACTACAGAAATGAATGTCTTTTGTTGGAGAAAATGAACTTTTTGTCTGTAGTTTTCATTTGTTTTTTAGTTTTTTTATCTTTTTCACATGAATCTTTTTTTAACATTCCTTGTGTTGGTCAAACAGTCTCTTTTAAGTTGTTATTTGAGATAAGAACTGGATAGATACATTTTATCCTGAATTCTCTGGTCAGTTTGACAGTTTTATTGGACCTGGTGAGGGGATGTGTCTCTGTTTAGTGTTTGTGTGTGTGTTATTTGGTTCTTAGGGAGTGAGTGAGTATGATATGTGTAAGCGTGTGTATTGCTGTAGGTGTGTGTTATCATTTGGCTCATTAGGGAGTGAGTGAGTATGGTGTGTGTATGTGTTTATAATCGTGTGGGTGAGTGTATAAGTGTGAGGCCTCCATTCCTCCGTAAGCATGTCTGTCTTGTGTGGGTGAGAAATGTGGGTAGGTTTTGATTTTTTGATTGTTACTATTATATATTGTTAAATTTATGATTTAGCCCGGCTGGGTATTGTGTTTTTAGACGTTGTATCCACCTATTTTCATGGGACTCTAAAATCTTTCTAATGTTATCTGCTCTGAACTTTTCTATTCTCTCAATTATAGTGAATCTGGCATGGGTTTTGAAATCGTGTTTTTCTAGGCGGAAATGTTGTTCTACAGGTAATAACTGTTCATAGGGAGTCGATTTAATTCGCTTACGATAATTATTAATTCTGTAGTTAAAGGGCCATTCAGATTTTCCTACATATTGTTTCTGGCATAGTGTGCATTCTAGGAGGTAAATTATGTTTTGACTTCTACAGTTAGAATCGTGGTAGATTTTGAAAGTAGATTTAGTGATTGAGCTAGTGAATGAATTCGTGTTTTTAATATGGTTGCAACATAAACTTCTTTTTGTTGTTACATGGTTGGGAAAATCCTGTTGTTTTTGTTCTCAGTTCCTTACGGATTACCTTGTCCCCGAAATGTAGTTACTACCTATGATTTCTTTTAGGTTCTTAGGTCTACGATATGCAAGAAGGCCGGGTTCCTTAAGCAGTTTTTTTAGGTCTGGTTTGAGATGTAGTATTTCCCAGCGACGTTTGATTATTTGGGATAGTGGAGGCAGAGTGGGATTGAAAGTGGTTACTAGCGGGATGAAGCTAGATTTATTTTTAATCTTGTATATTAGGGTGTCTTCTCTAGGTGTGGAAATTGCTTTATTTATTTGTTCCCCTGATTAGGTGTTGTTTATAGCCACGTGTTGTGAATTGATGCTCCAGATTTTCAATGTGTTTATTTAATTCTTCATTGTTGGAACATATCCTTCTGAGTCTAAGTGCTTGTGAATAGGGAAGGTTCTCTTTGAGGTGTTTAGGGTGGGAAGACTTAACGTGTAGATAGTTGTGGGTGTCGGTGATTTTAGTGTGTAGTGTCGTTTGTAGTTTCCTGTTTTCATCTATGTAAATGCGGGTGTCTAAAATGTTACTGATGTTGTGGATTTTCATAGTCAAACTTAATTGAGTCGTGCACTGTGTTTAGGGTCATAAGGAATTGGGTAAGTTTGTCATCACTACCCGTGTATACAAAGAATATATCATCGATATATCTTGCATAGAATACGCAGTCGCTACCAATGATTGGATAGATATGGGTCTCCTCAAATTTTCCCATGAATATTGTAGCATATGATGGAGCTGCAATGGTGCCCATGGCACAACCTCTTATTTGAAGGTAGTGTGCTCCATTGAAGTTGAAAGTATTCAATGTAAGGACATGCTCCATGAGTTTTATGATGACTTCTGTAGGGGGGTCCTGTTTTCTTCTTTTAGTAAGTGCTTCCTGAAGAGCGGCCAGCCCTT